ATTTTTTTTGTTGGAAATTTTTTAAAATTTCACTCGATAACGCGCCGTGACAGGCTTTACGACTAATGGTACTTTAACAAAGCACAAATGCGAGTATGGGAGAGTACCGTAAAATAAATATTCAAAATCTCATTTGAAACGTTGGACTAACTTTTTCACTTTCTCCCTTGCACTAACACACAAATGAACGCCACACTGTTGCGATGAACAACTCCCACATGTATACACACACACACACGTATACGTGGCTGAACGTACGAATGCCAAGGCATCGAGCAAAGCATTGTTCAATGCAACCTATCATTGGCTGTTGATTGAGGATTATACATTTAATCGGAATGCTGACATCGATGACAACGCTGACAACGTTCACTACAACAACAACAGCAATAGCAATAATAAGAATTGCAAGCGAACAAGCGCACAACCGAATAATGAGGCAGTCGACGACGGCGACAACAATAAGAACWACAACAACGACAACAACAAGGCCAGCAACCTAACCAATAAGTTTTTCGAACAAACTCAAACGCAGCAGCTGCAAGCGAACAAGCAGTTGAATGCCGAGGAGGTGGAGCAGAAGCAGAAGCAGCTGACAGCGACAGCGACATCAACAGTTGCCACTTGGAGTACTTGGATTACGTCGCCGCGCCCAAAAGCTACTCTTGCAGCGACGCCGATGACTGCCAATAATGAGAACACCATGGAGATTATTGAAAAGTATCTGGAAAAAATCAACATCAACATAAATACTGAGTTAATATTGGCAAAGCGGCACACACGGCGTATACGTGMCGGCGCTGCAACCGACTATAACAARAAATGTGCGGGCGTTGATGTAGCTGATGGAGAGSCTGATGGCGATGGAGATGCTGATGGTGACCGAGATGATGGTGTGCTCTCTGGCCGAGGCTGCGGCACGTCTGACAGTGAAAGCTCTACTAATAATACACCTCAAAGGAAGGATTACTACCGGCTCTACGATGTTTGGTAAGTTTCATTTTATGCTTTTTATACGCGTATTATTTGAGTTGTTGTTGTGTTTGTGTTCGTGTGCGGCATGTACGGCGACGTCGTAAGATATACTCATTAAAAAGGATATGCCTGCTTGCCGAAGATAAACACACACACACACACACACACACACACACACACGCAAGCGATTTACGTCGAATATGTGTGTTTGCGTGTGTGTGTGTGTGTGTGTAGTTGCTGCGGCGCTCTTATTGAGTATTGGCAACATATGTGCCGTTACAGCGCAGCAGTTGCCGTTTGCGTGAGCGTTTTGTATTCTTCCTGATGACAATAATCTTTTGTGAACTTCTACGTGAAATGTGCAACGTGTATGTGTATGTGTGCGTGTTGTTAAGCGAAAGTTTTTCAATTTGCTGATTGAAATTTTTTACGCGTTGCCAAAGTTTGCTTTTTGACAATAATGGGTAATGACGGCGTTCAGGAAGGAAAGCCTTGAATTTGACGTCGGAGAGTTCTTTTTCATTTTTCTGTGAAAATAATTGTAGTTTAACAATGCAAGGAAGCGTTTAAAATATCTTGTTGTTATCAACAAGGTTAGTACATTCTTTCGTTAATATAGAAATCAGACGATTATCAGAAATATGTATGTGAATACTATTATGAGCAAAAAATAGTAAGTATTTTGTTCATAATTTTAAAATTCTTCATTTATTCTTCAAAATCTATGTTTTTCCTCTCAAAGTAATCCTCTTGGTRCTAATACACTTGTGCCAACGTTTGTTTTTCAATCCTTGAAAGAGTTTCAATAGCTAATTTCCGGAATATGCTTCAATGCGTGTAACGATTCACCTTCAATGTCTTCAATTGACTCAAAACGGTTTCTCCGGAGTGTTCGTTTGAATTTGCAGAATAGCCAGAAGTAAGAAAAAGCCAAATTAGATATTTGCTGAAAATTTGGTGAAAAACCCGCGAAGAACGAATGCAGTATGCCAAGCTGCAATATCCTGGTGCAAAAACCAAGAGTAGTTGGTACATAATTCCGGCCTCTATTTTACGAAAAGCCCACGCAAACGACGTATAACACGCTAATAGTATTCCTTGTTGACAATTTGGTCCGTCGTAAGGAATTTAGAGTGCATTGAAGAAAACTGTCAACACAACCTTGATTTTTGATCTGCTTTAACGTGGTTTTTTCAGCACTGGCTCCCTTTTGCCACAATATTCAGCCGATTGCGCTCTGTTGTCATACCATGAGCATAGATCCAAGACTCCTCGCCAGAATAATACCTTTCATGACAGCCTGGTAAGAAAKCATTGGAACCAATCGTGCTTTAACTTTTCTTAGGCTCAAACGTTCTTTCAAACTGGTTTTCTCTGTTACTTCCGATATTACAACGATGTCAGTAAGATCTAAGACTATTCATCGTCGATTCTTAAACACCAACTAGTTATGCGGCAGCATATGAGAAATGAGAAATGAAATGTTGTTGGCAACATACAAGGCAATCGGCTGGCCGGCTGGCCGCGCCACGATACCGATCGTCATCTGGATGCAGTGAAACGCGGACGGGAAAGCTTTAGTCATATTAGAACACTGCCCTATCGTCTCGCATTGAACATCTGCGCTGTGAGGAACGCATGGTCCCAGTTAAGGAGCATAATGAACTCCTCTCCTAACAGTTTCTGCTGGGTAATTTTCGTAGAAATCATCTCTGCGGTTATCTGCGTGAACCGGTACCGCCACCTTAGAGCATCAAAAAGTCGTTCCCCAACTACATCGACGATATATGACAATATGCCGACCAGACTTCGGACGCAACTAACTTCAGACTTGCACTGGCTGCCATTCACAGTGGAGCTATTAACACTTTCACCGACTCCCTCTCAGTGAATGGCTTCCTTGGAGTCAAACCACCATTCAATGAACACGAAGCGCTTGAAATCGTAGATCGCGAGAACCGAGAATGACCCTTGCACAACTTCGTTCTGGATACTGTAGCAGGTTAAACTCCTATTTATCCAGAATCGACTTTGACATGTCAAACATATAATATGTCAAGCACGCAACTCTGACTATGACTATGACTCTAACCACCTCTTTGCATGCCCAGCTAACCCTACAAATATGACACCAATCTGCCTTTGGTTCCTTTGTCAAAGCGCTGCATGGAGACAAGTATTATTTTAATTAAAAAGAAGAGAAAATTTCGAAAGCTTAATATTGAGAAGTTGAGTTATTGACTCAGGAATAGGGAAATTCAGRAAAAATACAGATTTCATCAATCCACCGCTGTTCTGGAAAGTGTCCTAGCTTCACTTTGTTGGTGTTGATTGAAATAATGATGAAATTGTRCAAAATATGCTGACAAACTTTAACAATCGTAGAACAAATGTAAGTATCTAGTATAAGCTAAGATTATTTCACACTCTAGGAACTAAATGTGATGGACGAGAAGTATCAAGGTTGATGGGATCGACCGATTATGACAGATTATTGCTGATCCTCAAAAAGATATTGCCAATTAGAAAATTGTTAAGGTAAAGCTAATCAGGGGTGTTAAACTCAAATCAGAGAAAATCTTAAAACAAATATAAAAAAATCTGTCTTATGTATGTAGTATAGGGCACCAAACCCCCGTGCTATTTCACAAATTTTAAAAATGTTACTTGAAGCCAATAAGACTGAGTTATTTTTTTCAAGGAAGTAATTTTCTAATATCGTTACTGGGCAATTGTGTTCCTCAGAGTAAATAAGCAAAGCAAATGGACTTCAACGGTACACAAAATGTTTACCAAAAAGGACACAAACGTGTTAGCGTAATAGATACACGTACATTTTGCTGCCAAAAAGGGACCATTCACACACGCACAGAAAGAGRAAAAAGGCAGCAGAGAAAATAACAATACGGAAATCTACGAATAAACTAGCCGCAAATACAAAACGAGCGTAAAATCGACAGCAAATCTAATATTTGTTTGCCCATTCGCTTAGTCGCACACACACACATACAAATACATACATACAAATGTGTAAATGTTGGACATATAGTATGTGTGTATATACAAGTAGTATGTGTTTACTCCTATATGTATGTATGTATGTGTAAGTATATTATTTGCTGTTTCTTTGTTGACCACAATAGGAATCCAGGACTACAATATGGCGGCCAATTGAACATTTCGGAAATTGGATATTTCGCACTCGATGATGGTCTACAAATTGCCCTCTGGTATCGTAGATCGACCACAATTACGAGGCGAATGGACATGAAGATGGCACGCATCCGTTGCTTGATTGTGGTAAGTGGTGTGCTCAATGGCAAATAATACAACAAATAAAAAATATATACATACTTACGCATGAGTACCTTGGTGGTAGAGAACTTATGGACATAGTATAGTATAAAACAGAATTTCGCATAATATTTGGACTGATTGGAAAATCACTAGTATGCGATTAGTTATATAATTTCTTAAGYTTGACTTTAATCGAAGAAGTAAAAATTGCCGTCCAAAATTTTAATGAGGTTTTGATTATATTTAGATAAGTTTTTCGTATAGTGTGACATTCACCGCTAAACTTGTACTCACATTATGAATGAGAGGTTAGTAAGAGAGAGACTAGAAAAAATTCTTTTACGTGTATATATTGTTTAAGCAGCTCACGACTTCCGGTCTTTGACCAAGTATCCTCTGGGTAGCCCAAGGACATCCGTTTGAAGGCGAGCTAAAGTAGGAAGGTGAAACATCTTTTCCCAAGGATTGTGCGCTGGATTTGGAATCCACCGCGTAAAAAAAGCTACCAATGGAAAAAAGAAAGTTGCCTCGGATGAGAAACCCCACTTTTGATGACGACCCCTGCAAACGTGTTAAAGATTACGATTTGAGTGTATGCCCCTGCAATGTCATATCACTTAATTGGGAAGRTTCCACTGCATAGCTGGTTGACGTCCTCACTAAAAAAAATGCCATTGACATAACAAAGAACTAAAACAAGCAGGTCCTTGTGGCATTTACTACAGTGGTCATATAAAGGAGCGCAAGTCCGGTGTGTGATTCATAGTGGGAGAGAGACTCCATCGGCCTCCATGATGAAAAATTCCCAAATAGGTTGAGTCTGATCGAGTTCGCCGGGGCTCGAAATATGGGTATCTGTAGTACTAGATTCCAGCATAAGAAAATTCATCAAGCTCCCTGACTGTCTCCGGAGTGAAAAGCCACAAAACAGATCGATGATGTTGTGATAGATTAAAGACCCTTCTTTAGTGTTTTATATGTGCGTACGCTCCGAGTTATTAACCAATGGTTTTCGGAAAATGCAAAAGAACACCTGGTATGACGAGGCGTGCCGTATCGCAGCGGAGAGAAACAGATTGCCTACCCCGCAACGTTACAATCGAACACAACAAATGTGTGATGGGATAAATATCAATGGTTSAAGGAGAAAGGGAGATTCATTTGCAGACAAAAAAAGGGAAAAGCCTAAATGTGTGAGTACGAAGAGTAATGCTCGCAAATTCTACGAAAATATGGAGCGACTAACAAGGTTTCAAGACCGGAGCATACTCTTTTAGAACTCCTGAGGTGATCAAGTGACTGATGCCAAGAACATATTAAAA